ATTATTTTGAATTAGCAGGTAGTGAATGGAGTGCATTATTTTGAATTAGCATGTAGTGAAGGAGTGCATTATTTTGAATTAGCTGGTAGTGAATGGAGTGCATTATTTTTGAATTAATGTAGTGAATGGAGTTCATTATTTTGAATTAGCAGGTAAATTAGTATTTTGCATTTTTTGAAATGCAGGTAGTGATGGGTGCATTATTTTGAATTTGCAGGTAGTGACAGGAGTGCATTATTTTGAATTAGCAGGTAGTGAATAAAATTTTAATGCATGTAGTGAAAGGAATGCATTATTTTGAATTGGTAGTCATGGGTGCATTATTTTTCATTATTTTGAATTAGCATGTAGTGAATGGAGTTAATTCAAAATAATGCACGTTATTTTCAAAATAATCCCGTCACTACCTGCATTATTTTGAATTAGCATGTAGTGACGGGTGCATAATTTAAAATAGTGCACTGCATTATTTTGAACTAGGTAGTGAATGATTTTCAAAATAATGCATAAATTTTGTATTAGCAGGTAGTGAATGGAGTGCGTGACGGAGTGCATTATTTTCAAATAGCAGGTAGTGATAATGCATTATTAAAATAATAGTGAATGGGTGCATTATTTTTGAATTAGATGTTAGTGACTGCATTACCAGGTAGTGATGGTGTGCATTATTATAAATTAGCAAAATAATGCATTATTTTAAATTAGCAGGTAGTGACGGAGTGCATTATTTTGAATTCAGGTAGTGATACATTATTTTTAAATTAGCTGCTGCAATTTTAAATTAAATTAGCAGGTAGTGACAGGTGCATTATTTTGAATTAGCAGGTAGTGAATGGAGTGCATTATTTTGAATTAGCAGGTAGTGATGGAGTGCATTATTTTGAATTAGCAGGTAGTGACGGGTGCATTATTTTGAATTCAAAGTGATGGAATGCATTATTTTGAATTGACAGGTAGTGAATGGAGTGCATTATTTTGAATTGCCAGGTAGTGAATGGAGTGCATTATTTTGAATTAGCAGGTAATGAATAGAGTGCATTAAATTAATGCATTATTTTGAAATAGCAGGTAGTGACGGGTGCATTATTTTGAATTGACACATTATTTTGAATTGCCAGGTAGTGAATGGAGTGCATTATTTTAAATTAGCAGGTAATGAATAAGTGCATTATTTTGAATTAGCAGGTAGTGACGGAGTGCATAAATTTTGTATTAGCAGGTAGTGAATGGAGTGCATTATTTTGAATTAGCTGGTAGTGACGGAGTGCATTATTTTCAAAATGCATTATTTTGAATTGCCAGGTAGTGAATGGGTGCATTATTTTGAATTAGCAGGTAATGAATAGAGTGCATTATTTTGAATTAGCAGGTAGTGACGGAGTGCATAAATTTTGTATTAGCAGGTAGTGAATGGAGTGCATTATTTTGAATTAGCTGGTAGTGACGGAGTGCATTATTTTGAAATAGCAGGTAGTGACGGAGTGCATTATTTTGAATTGACAGGTAGTGAATTGAGTGCATTATTTTGAATTGCCAGTTAGTGAATGGAGTGCATTATTTTGAATTAGCAGGTAGTGACGGTGTGCATTATTTTGAATTAGCAGGTAGTGACGGAGTGCATTATTATAAATTAGCAAGTAGTGAATGGAGTGCATTATTTTAAATTAGCTGATAGTGATGGAGTGCATTATTTTAAATTAGCAGGTAGTGACGGAGTGCGTTATTTTGAATTAGCAGGTAGTGAATGGAGTGCATTATTTTGAATTAGCAGGTAGTGATGGAGTGCATTATTTTAAATTAGCAAGTAGTGACAGAGTGCATTATTTTGAATTAGCAGGTAGTGAAGGAGTGCATTATTTTAAATTAGCAGGTAGTAATGGAGTGCATTATTTTAAATTAGCAGCTAGTGACGGAGTGCATTATTTTGAAGTAGCGGTAGTGACGCAGTCAGGAAATTGTTTGGCTATGTTTACCCGCAAAAAACGATTTGTTACAAGAGCGTCTTTTCCCTTGATATCACTAATGTTATTTTAATTACTTTCTCCTTTCGGAAATGTTCATTGTATTAAAAAACCTAAACATACGATGAAAGTGAATTTGCATATTTTTTGTTCTTGAGAATTAACATTAAAAATACTAATCACTATTTATTTATTATTTATTTATAAGAATAATTTTATATTTACAGCATTCTAAAAACTAATAAAATTGTATTAAAACTAATGCACTTGTTGCGGGCTGGTGTATGCGTTGAGGGATAAACACGTGTGTGCCCTGAAATGCTTATAACAAACATTGTAGACTCAGGATATGAGTTCGAGTAAATAAATAAAAAGAAATGACAAGAACCAATATATATGTACAAACAAATGATAATGTATTAACAATAAAGGGTTACAAGTGACAAAGACAAAGATGTGTGTGCGTCAAATGAATGTGAAAACCTAATGGTCCAAAGTATGTGTGGTGAGTGAGTGTGCGAACGTACGTGTGTGTGTATATATTCTTCATGCGTTCACCAAAGGGAAGGCGTTCTCCGAGAAGTTGACGAATAAGCGGATAAGGCGAGTGATAAAAATTATCGCAGAGTCGTTATAGTCCTGGCCACAATTGCTATATTTTTGAGTAATAAATCTCGAGTAGTTATAGTTCTGAGTGCGTCTCCTAGGAACGGCTTCGAAAATTAGGAAGAGGTAACCGACACAATTCATTATTCATCATTTACCAATTTATAAAGAAATAAAAGTGAAAACAATTTTCTATTTATAAATATTAACTAAATTATTCAAATATATGAATCAACTATAAGGAAATCTCTATTAATTACCATTTTATAAAGTTCGAATCAATTGGCAACTAGCCGATGTTTTGCCAATCATTCTAATGAATAATAATAAATACTGTAAATAAACAATCTAATAAATAAATATGAATAATCAAGATTGGTCTCCCCTTGTTTTGTTACTCTTCTCTTTGAGAGAGCTATTTCTGTTTACTGGGACTATAAAAGGACACTATACGCGAACCTTTTATACTCATTTGAATAAAGCTTTATTAAAGCCTACACCTGCGTACTTTTGTCATTACAGTGTTTATTATTTTTGTTGTCAATTCTCAATAACAAGAACAAAGAAAATGTATAAATTTACATTCATATGTTTAGGTTTTATTCCAATTCTAATAATGACTTTATAAGACAATAAACATTGCTGAAGAGTGAATGTAGTTTAAAAGCGGTATCATGGGGAAAGCTGTCCTTTGGACATGACGTTTTATTGCGGGCACGTTTTTCCATAATTGTGTGTGTGCTTTTTAATTAATGTAATTCCTTCAGCGTACGTTTTTGTATGTTTTGAATCAAATCAAGAGAAACAAAAAAAATGCTACTTTTCTTTTTCATAAAAGTCTATTTAGTATATGTCTATATTTCTGAGATGAGGTATTATTATATACACTATCGTCCTCATCTTTGCCATATTTATCCGGCCTCCTTCTACCTTGGAATGTTGTGTTAAACCCTTTATTTCGCTTGCTGGGGTAGACTGTTCTAGCTCAATGTGTCATGTCTAATGGATCTCCTGTTAATTCCCCTCTCCAAATTCTCCACTGCTTTAACCAGGTATTAAACTCACACTCTTTGGGTCCTGTCACTAGATTTAACTAACGCCTTTATCCACTGTGCCATATGCCCTTGAGGTCATCTGTGTATGAATTTCTGGGACTTATAAACCTAATGTCTTCAGCAACTATTTTTACCAGTGCTAATAATGCTAATTTTTGCTGTTATCATTGCATGTTTTATACCAGAGCTCATATTGCAATTTTTGTTGTTATTATAGCTTTTCTCTAGCACTCCTTATTACTGGTTCCCATATTGTATTCATTTCTATGCTTGGTCGGCTCAGGAGATTTTTGTGTCTTAGCATATGTGCTGATTCCTTGAGTTTACGAATTTTCCAATGATGTTATTTGTCTATGATTTCAACCTGATCCCACAGAGGGCGGTGATCTCCCTTTTCTCTCCATATGTGGTCAGCCACGCATGATTTTTTCATTTCCCCTCGTGTTACAGCTTTTTGGTGTTCTTGAAGCCTCACCTTAAGAGAGTGGCCTGTCTCCCCTTTATATTTCTTTCCGTAGCTGCACGGGATGGCGTACACACAGCCTTTAGTCATCTTCTCCTCTATGGGGGGGGGCTGTCTTTACTCGGGAGAGGCATCTGCGAAATGTCGTCTGTTTAATATGTATGAAAAGATTTTGGCCCAATCCATTTCCTAAAATCTGACCAAATGATCAAAATTTTTTTTCTTAACCCTTTCTTGATCAGGCCGAGAAATTTCCAACACTCCCCTTCATGTTATTTTTAAACGAATAAACATTTCAGCATTCCGGTTTTAATCCTGTCACTAATTTCAGGAGCTCCCAGCTTACAGACAGGCTTGGTTCGTCTTGCTTGTAAGTCACTAGGTACGTAATAAGTAGACTAAGTGCGTAATAATAAAGATATATTATTGCTGGACTTTATTCCTGACACTGTTGCGGCAGATGTGACTTCAAACAAAAATATCTTTTATCCATACAAAAAGTTATTTCCAATCTTTCGGTGGATATGAAATAATTTCTGTCATAAATATTTGTATATTTCTTTACTGTTATTTTCTCTCACCCATAAAGCTTCTTCGTATATTTGTTTCTATTATTGTTTATTCATCCGTTTTCTACGCCTTATCAACCTTTTGCGGGTTATTTAAAGCCAGAAAAAAATTTTAGATTGCAAGAATTATTATTATTTTCTTTTTTGAGATGATAATGATTTAGTGATATGTGTTATTAATTAACCCAAAGCTAGGGGGAGAAGAAGTGGATTCGTACTTTTCCCAAGGGTATTTGCACGTTAGTGAATATAACGAACGCAACGAGAATTGGAACTCGGCTCTCCGATTAACAATTCTGAGCCATTATCCATTGCACCTACCGCATATCCAAGCTTAGAGAAACTAATATTCCCAAGCGGTCACCCATCTAGTTACTAACCAGGCTCGACATTGCTTAACTTCGGTGATCATACAGGAACCAGTGTTTAAAAGTGACGTGACCGTAAGCCATATATGGTCCTAACATCGTGGTGTGAAGTCACGAGTCATCGTGACCGAGATTTCGAACGTACTGGTTTTATTCAACTACAGATCAATCCCGATTTTCGTCTCTCTCCTATGAACTGTGGTTAAGTTCCGCTCAGTATAGTTGCAGTATAAACAATAGGTTAATTCTGTGCGTGTTAAAGAAATATAAATGTGCCTGACCAGGCGTCTGTAACTGGGATTACCTTGGTATCCTAGTAGACTCCATAGTCTCTCAAAATTGGCGGATACCTACTCCTAACGGATATCTAATTAGCACACATTCGCTACTTTATTATACTTTGTTGCTCAATTTGAACAATTTACATTGCTACGGCTTACCGTGTAGGTAAGATAGATTTCGCAACGTTACCTCACGACGCCCATAGCCCATTAGTGTCGTAAACGCTCAAGATAGCAGCAGTGGTGTAAATTTACATTGCTACGGCTTACCGTGTAGGTAAGATAGATTTCGCAACGTTACCTCACGACGCCCATAGCCCATTAGTGTCGTAAACGCTCAAGATAGCAGCAGTGGTAGGTAAGATAATTTCGCAACGTTACATTGTGTCGTAAACGCTCAAGATAGCAGCAGTGGTGTAAATTTACATTTACGGCTTACCGTGTAGGTAAGAAAGATTACGTCCTTCTCCCATCAGGTTGGTTTTCAGTACAGATTTTTCCTTCTTCTAGACTAGTTATCTTATTCAAGAGAGTTTGGCCATAGCCAGTGGGGGAGATAGATTCATTCATTTCTTAAGGGTATATGTGCGAAGAGAACGTAACGATCTTGGTCGGAATTCGAACTTGGCTTGCCAAATTCTCTTTCCGAGTCGTTAACCACTACAATACAGGGGTAAATTAGAAACTTTCAGTCCTAAAAATGATACAATAGCATTTGTAAAAAAAATAAAAATAATAACACTTTCTTAGTGAAGTAGCGGATATTTTTTGGCGTAATTTTTTTAGCAACAATGGTTGCTGTTTTTAAAGACAAACTCGAAACTTAGATATCTGCAATATAAGTATTTGTGAAAACCACAGATGACCATGAATAACACAGTCAATCCACAAAGACACAACAACTGCGTTTTGTTTTACAGGCTAATGCTGAACAGCTGCAGCTATGCCATCTGTTGCGCGGACGTTGAACTTCCGAACCGGCGTTGTGTTCAAAAGACAAGTTGTCTCGTATCTCTTAACTTGAACTTTTGCAGATATGGGAGCACTAGAATAGGCTTCGTATAAAAATACAAACTTTTACGTGTTTAAAAGATATTTTTAATAGTACAGTGAGGGCCAAATCGTTTGAGAAGCTTTGGCCTAATCCATCATAAAAAGACGGGGATATGAAGAACAAATATAAGATCAATTGCATTGCAAAAATAATTCTGTAAAATAAAAAAGTAAAGAATTTATATTGACTAAAATTCACACTAAATTATCCCAGAGCAAGTTCCTTCCATTGCAATCCAGTTAAGTTAACCTTTACGATCAACCCAAATGTGGACGACTCGGGTGCGCTATTTCTAAGGGTAGGGTTTGTATTTGCGCTCACCCCGGTATACAATCCAAAAACAGATTTTTTCTTTTTCTTTTTTTTTGAATTGTAAAAAATTCCTCGTAAGTACCTCAAATTTGCACTTACGAAATGTGAATAACTCTCTGATTTCTGTTAATTTTTCATTCTGAGGCTTGTAGTTGTTTCGAAGCAAGCTAAACAAACTTTGATTTAAAATTTATAATTTCAAAAGAATGACAAAAATTTAATAAAAAACAAACTTTGATTTAATATTTATATTTTTTGGTGTGAATTAATATTTGCGATAAGTAACTTTATATAATTTAAAATGAATTAACTGAAGAGATCCAAAAATAAAAATCCAGTAAAAAAAAGGAAACTCGTGGCACTTCACCTCTAATTTACGGAAGTGGGAAAAATAAAAATAGCCAACTTAATGAGGAGGCATTTCCGCCAACAGCAGTGACATTAATGGATAAAGCGTTTGGTCAAACCAAGAGCGTGCCGCTGTTACCCGAGACTAGCGTCATTATTCGGGACGCCATCTTGATGAGTCTTGTCGGATTCCCGCTTTCTAATTTTATTAAGTCTTGTACTTATTGATTCAAATTAATTCGTGTCTTAATCCTAGATATATATTGAGTGCTCTCCCACTTTCAACTAACACAATGTTTGATGCTATCTTTTGAAAGAAAATATTTATCGAACTATTTTCATAAAGAAAGAAAAAACAAAAACCGCTATTTTATTTTATGTCTAGAAAAACAATGTACAGAAAGCGTACGCGGAAAGTGAAATTGGTGAACCAAGTTCAAATTCCGTTGCGTTCACTTTCGCACAATCGCCCTTGGGAAAAGGTCTGGATCTGTTTCTTCACTCTCTCTCTCTCTCTCTCTCTCTCTCTCTCTCTCCAACTATGAGTTAAATAGTAGGATAGACTGGTCTCTCTAGCATTGATTGGCAGACAGCCTAAAAGAAGGACGACTCTGAATTTAAAATGATGGCGAATGCACTGTTTTTTCCAACAAGTAATGGCAATTCACAGGTAATTGCGAAAAAGAATATATGGAGATCTATGATAACCTATCTCTTGAAGAGACATGACACTTTTTAAAACCCAGTTTTATATATATATATATATATATATATATATATATATAACTACGCTTGTAGTGCAACTCAGAGTTTCATGATTAATCAATTCATCAGGCACAAATGGTAAATGGTTCATTTACCATTTGTGCCTGATGATATATATACATAATAGCTCTGCTATATATGATATATATACATAATAGCTCTACATTGAGCACTGTTTTGTTTACTCCTTAAATTAAATATTTATTTGCGCATCTGTATATATACGTTATCACACGTTATATATTGTTGCTAATATCTCGTTATTTAGTTTATGTTCACACTATATATATATATATATATATATATATATATATATATATATATATATATGAGGGATAACGATATATAAAGTTTTATATACCAAGAACAATTTTGGAGGAAAGATGTATGATAAAGTGGAAAAAGTTATTTTGCGTGACGCGCTTCGTCTTTTAGGACTCCATCGGACTGAATTTGTTTAGGTTGATGCGACTACACATGTGCACGAACGAGAGACGCTGGGAATTTTAAATTTGAAAGAATATTCTTTTTAACATCTTTTTCGGATATATAATCTAGCCAATTTCATTTAGATTTTTTTTTCATTTTGTTTTTGTTTCCATCATATTTGTTATTAAATATTCCACAGTGTGATAACAGAAGATCTGACAAGAATGGCGAATCGTTGTAAGAACCTGGACGCAAATTTGCTGTGGGTGAACTAGAAATTAAAAGCACTTTGTAAAGATTTTCATCTTTGTTATATCGTGGATAATACGATAAACAACCAGGTAATCTCGAGTGGAAAGATTACACCAACACAGGAATTAGGTAAAACAATAACAAGGTTTTATTTGTACGGAAAGTACAATGAGTAAGGGTTCGTAAATATAACAATGAGTAAAACGGGAGATACGTCACGGAGATCGTAGTCGTCCTTTATACGCTTCTACTACAATAGTTCGTCACGTCTTTTATTCTCCCAATCACGTCTCTTCTAGACTGACCAATCACAGTTGGGGTGTGTTAGGTTGTTCCACTATAACAATCTTAGTGAATTGTTTTCTGTTTTATATTTATTTTTATATTATATATATATATATATATATATATATGTGTGTGTGTGTGTGTGAAAATATATTGAAAATAGGAAAGAACTCGTTAGGTAATATATATATATCATATTTTAAAATATTTTTATGTTTATACATTCTTTTTATAGATACAAATATTTAAGTAAATGCTCTGTTTTATAATAAACAGTATTAAACAACATTTACCGGCCTGAATGTCCGAGAAATTTTTGATACTGTTTATTATAAACAGAGCATTTACTTGAATATTTGCATCTATAAAAAGAATGTATAAACATAAAAATGTCTTAAAATAATTGTCGGACTTTGTCCATTTCATAATGTGTGACGTCATATATCATATATATATATATATATATATATATATATATATATATATATATATATATATATATTATGCACTAGCTTAAAAGCCGCCCTATCGGGTGGTATTTTAAGCTAGCTTTTGCGGAGGGATCTTGATTGGCCCCTCGTCTTGTTCAGGAGTTTCAAATTCCCTAAGTTTTTGCATATTCTCAGCATTGGAAACTCTCATGGCTGCCGTCTGATCTGGGTTCTCATTTGTACGTGACTTTCTTTTCCTCGCTGCAGCTTTGGCTCTTTTGATTGCAATCTTGTCCTCTATTGGCAGAGAATTCTTTCTGCAAGGCATTCTTACTGCTGCCGTATGCCACTGGGAACAATAAACTACAAAAATTAATTGATCGCTACATTTAAATATTGTATTACTATTTAAGCTTACCTTTCAAAAGTTTCACGATAATTCTTCTGCCACCACTTAATTTAAAGACTATTTGATGCGCATAGGTATTTACTTTCCGTACACACAATTATTTTTATTTCATTGGTGACTTTCGCTGGATTTCAATTATTCCCAAATTTATTTCCGAGTTATAAAAACTGTTATCGTACAAAAAAATTCGCCGCAAAAAATCACCGAAAAAAAATCACCGAAAAAAGTCGCAGTAATGAAAACTGGAGAATCGAAAATTTCTGTAACATGAGCTATTGGAAGTTAGAGAGTTGTGTCCCTTTAATTGAAACGTGTGACATACTGACATTGGCATTTATTATATAGAAGAAGGAGATGGGCTAATGAGAGTTCCTTTTAATTGTTGTGACATTCATTTTAATTATAAAATATATGACATATATGACATTATATTTATTATATAGATAAATATATTTTCAGTGCCCGATATCGGAGACAGGGCATTTATAAAGATAGCATAGACATGGATCTTA